GGTGAGATGGGGAACCTTAAACTGCTCCCTCACGTTTTGCTGAGCAAGAAAATCACTGTGCTTCAGATCCAGACCCAAGGATGGGCAACTAAAGCCAGACATGGGCTGCCTAACCAGCACAGGGAAACGAATTACATCTTTGGTTGGGAGATCCTGCCAGCCTCTTCATGAGCAGCACCCACCCACTCTCCAGTGCTGATCTGGTTAGCCAAGGATTTGGTGCATTACATGCTGCTGGCTGATGCCAGAGGATTTAAACTAGCAAGCACACGACTTCACCGCTGACTTGAGAAGTTTATACGATGGAGGTGCTGGTCTCAGGAGCCTCAACCCAGCTCTGGAGCTAGTGACATGACCACTGCCTGAGACCACGATCCCTTGCACCTACGTCTGCAGCACCCATTGTTTCCTGGTGTTTGACTGCAGGTGGTCAAGCAGCACTGATGCCTGCAAAAAAAATCTCTGGAATTGCAATAGAAATCTGCACTGATAATTTTACAGCAAGTGCAAAAAGAAAGTAAGTTTCACTGTGCATTGAAATGTGCTGTTCCCCAGGAGACAACCTTCACACATCACCCCATCCCTACTATTGCCTTTGCTTTGGCAACGTAGCAGCTTTTCCAACCATAACTTCATATCTCATCATCAGAGAGGGCTTTAGACACATACAAGAGGGACCTGAAAGGTTTGAGTGGATTTGCTCTGCTCCCACACACAGCAGTCAAAGACACCTCCCCCAGCTGCACCTCCCCAGGTGCAGGCAGGTCAGATGTCCTCTGCCTACAGTCTGAGCTCACACGACGCAAAGCATCTCCTGCCTGGGAACATTTTGGCACGAGAACAGTGCTTCTTTGAGTCATGGAGACATGGAAGATAAAGTTTCACATGATATTAGCTTTGATTTTGTGGGAACTTCTCCAGCTTTCCTTATCAGTAAGGGTTCAGACTTGGGCTTGGGTTCGGACATCCTTTGGTAGGACATGCCAGACTCGTTGACAATGTCACACAATCCCTGCAACGCCCTCTACATCTCCACACTACCAAACAGTGCAGGACATTCAACATCTTACATTGTTAACTTGTCAGTGCAGTGTTTGGGATGCTCTTCACCCCAGCCAGCTAATCCTCTTCAACCAGAGCCCAAGAGTGGAAACCCACCACCTCCACCTGCCACAGGTATGTTGCTATTTCTACTGGCCTATTGGGAAGGCAAACCAAGTCATCTCCTCCACCATCAGCTCCTCAGGGAAGACAGCAGAAGGGCACTACCAGCAGGGTGTAGGACAATCTAGATGTGACCCACACACCCTGCCTGCTCCTTCACTGCTCAATAGGAAGGCAACATGACCGTCAACTGGAGAAGCCTCTGACGTCCCCCACCATGCAACGAGTCCCTGCTGCACCTGTTGGGACATGGACACACATGCAAATAAGCAGTAAAATAAATTGCAGTCCCATTTACTGCCAACAACACAGGCTTTTGCTTGGTGATGATGGGTGACAGTCAGCCACCATGGGGGAAGAGATGGACTTGGCCAGGAAGGGGATTTTCAATTCTCCCTCTCCCATTGCCAGGAGAAATGGGACAAAACCGTAGAATCACTTTGGTTTTTCTTAATGCCCTTTCCACAGGAGGAGCCTGGGATGGAGTAGCTACCAGATCTTTCATGTACCAAGAGCTCCTCTGGCGTTCTAAATACATACCATACCAGAAGTCTTTTACTTAACGAATTGCTCTCAGAAATATCAAAGAGATTCCGACTTGCAACAGCCTCACAAGGAGTATGCAAATAAAGTATTATATAAAATCTTCCCACTGGATCTTTTTAGAAAAAAATAATCCAAACATAAAAAGATTTAAAATGATTCCATTATCTAAACTTTCCTCATTTATATAGGCAATATGGTGCTCAAATAATATCTTGCATACAGCAATGGAGTGGTCTTCACCCCAGAGGCTCACATGGAGCTAGCAGACCTTCTGGGGGGTATTGCTCAAATGCAGCAGGGCTCGGCAGAGTACAGCAATGCCATGCAGCAAACGAAAGCATTCAAAGTTGGAAACAAGGAGAATTATAGATGAGCTGAATGTAATTATAAGGCCAGGATTTTCTCAGTGCACCAGGAGTTCACGAAATATATCTCATGAGATCCTCCACGAGGAGACTGTCTTCTCATAGCCACCTGCCCAGAGAACTGGAAAGACCAGAGGTTTCCAGGGGAAATCTTCTCTATTTTTAAGCAACTGCTTTGTATGGGATGCACAGTGCCAGATTACAGGCACTGACCCCCATATAGTTTCCCACAGTTGCTAATAGCAGATGTCTCACCAAGGAATATAAGAGCAGGACAAGTATGGGCTGGTCTTTCCCAGAGATAGCTGACAGCATCAGAAAAACAGCAATTTAGGAATATCCTGGACTGCAGGTTGCATCAAGAGACCTTATTTTTACTCTTAAATTGCACATTATTCAGGAATTGCTCTCAGCCCCACACTTTTACAACATCCTGCGGATGCTTATATATACACATATTATATACAAATGTCTATTTAAATATGTAATACACCTATACGCACACACAAAAAATTCTTTCTTTTATTTGCCTTAACCTTGCAGGATCCTAGAGACAAGAATTTCAAAGGCATCAGGCACTTAGGGATGCAGAGGGGCATTTTCAGGGATAGGAAAGTCAGCTTCACTTTAGGCTCCCTTACAATCTTTAGGAAGCCAATTAGTTTTGAAAATGTGGCCCCGGACTACTCTGCCTTTGCAGAAAAGGAACCAGATGCTGAATATATTTTCAGGACTAAACTGGATTTCCATATAAATGCCCTTTCTGATTGTCAGGTTAGAACTATGTGAGGCATATCATGGTCACTGATATATAACCGACATTTTCACAGTAGCCAGCAGAAATCTCAAATCCAAGCATTTTTCAACTCAGAGCAGTGCACATCGCACAACCAGCAATGCAGAAATCTCAACTGGAAATAAAACAGGAAAAACAGGAATTCGATTTTCCAACCAAATCCCTCAAAATCCATAAAAAATCGCAACAAAAAAACTTAACATCCCTTGGGAAATAATTAACCAGCTTTTTCCTTAGCAGGTTTGAAGAACGATTGATAATTTACATTCAAGACGAACACCTTATAAATGAATTTTTTCTTTAAAATGTTTAAAGCTACTAGTGAAAAATCAACAGCCGGCAACTGTAATAAACTGAACCACCAGCAGCGTTTCACTCATATATCAGAAATGCTGCCTGGACAGAAGAACAATAGCTTGCAGTTCCTTTTTGGTGCCAAGGAAAATTTGTCACTCGCTGTTAAAGGAAGTCCAACATGGAGAGAGATAATTATTAGCTCTGCTGCAGGCTGGGAGAGAGCCCAAACACAGGGAAAACAGCTTAGGCATCAGTGAATATTATTTGTAAATAGAAAACAAGCTCCGTGCTGGAGGAGATCAAATAGGTTTCATGCCCAGGAAAAGAAAAAAAAAAACCCAATTAAAAAACCACAAGTTGAAACAAAAGATGGCACGGTACAAGGTAGATTAAAGATGTCAGGGCTGCATTGATTTGAGTCAGGAAAGCATCACTTGTGCTTGACTCCTGCATCCTCCTGTGGTACCGACCAGAGCCAGGGACCTTCTTCCCCAGGGAGAACACCCGGTCCTGCTAACACCCCGAGCAACCCAAGGAGGCTTGAAGGAAACGTCCAGCCTCCCAGCTGAATTTCAAGGAGCCAGCTGCAATGGTGGGAGTGAGCCCAGCTGGGGTTTTGCTGCCGAATATTTCAGAGCACATCAAAGCTATAATAAATTAAATCCCCAATTCCATCTGGCATCTTCAGAGGCTCATCTAAAGCAGCGTCTCCATACAGCATGCACCTTCCTACACAATAAGATCTTATCTTTGTTGTGTGCAGGTGTTTGTATAGATGCTCCCAGCATCCTTGCATCCAGGCACGGGGCAGGGAAGGGGACGTGTAAGCCCCCATCCTGCACCAAGCAGCTTCCAGCATGGCTCTGTGAGGAAAGAAACCATGCCCAAAACAGGATGCCAGAGCAGCAATACACACTGCTCAGACTGGCACAGTGTCTTGTACCACCCTGCAAGGGCCTCACAGGCTTCTTCTCACAGATCCCACACATGGGACTGAAGCCTGGAGGACATCAAGCAGGGCAAGAGCACCAAAACCACCAGCCCCTTCTACAGGTGGGACATCCATCAGCCACAGCAACTGCAAATGCAGCTTCGCCCTTTCCTGCAGCCGGCTCAGTCTCATATCTCCTCAGGCGAACACTGCTCTTACAGGGCTGATGGTTGCATCGTGGCACAGCAGCTCCTCAAACAGGTGACAATGGTCAAACCCATGCCTTTACCCTACCCAACCCTCTCCCACACCAGTGCTTGCATAGAGGAGGGACAGCCACCTCCAGTGATGCCAGCAGCACTTGGAAGACACTCTTTACTGATGTTCACATCACATACAACCACCAGAACCAACCCACACCTGGCTTCTGTCACTGTAAACCTAACACAGGCTCTTAGCACGTGCAATTTTGCATCTTAGCCCAGTTCAGCCTCTCAGCTATTTAATCCTCTTCCCTACAACACCATCCTTGCACTGCAGCACATAACCAAGAAGCACAACTACACAAAGCTCCTCCATCTCAGCTACATCTCGTACTTCCAAGTCAGCTTTGATGCTCCAAATAGGTCCCTCAAACAGGTGGCAATAAGGAGCTTTTCAGGAATAAATGTGACACTCAGTATTTTTCCCCCTTAATTACAGAGCAATAAGGTCCCGGTCAAAGCATCCATCTGCACATTGGGATGTTGCTCATCTCCTGTGGTTTCGGCAGAAGCGAGCTTTCGGCATCCAAGCAGAGGGACACGTATCCCCTTCCACGGGAGACAGAAAGCTGTACAGATGAGGCAGTACAAAAACAAAAGCAAAGTTTTTGTGAGGAAGAGCTAAACACAGCCCCTACCTGATTGTGTTCGTGAGACGACGAGCCCTTCCCTCGGGATGGGGAACAGCTTCCATCAAGCTGCTCGCTACAATCCGCCGTCCACTGTAAAAGGGATAAAAAAGGGATTGTGTAAAATAATAGCCGGGCTGGGAAAAACTGCTGTGTCAGTCCACAGCACACAGCAAATGCTGTCCAGCCAGAGGCATGACTGTACACGTGCAGCTCCCCCCCTTTTTCAGGATGATCCCAAAGGCTTTGGCTTGGAAATGCTCCACCCACCGATGGTGAGCAGAGGGAAGATACAGGAACAATTGCAGGAAGGCACCTGAAATGATGCTTTGCAATAAAATGCATCCCCAGTACTTCCTTGCAGACTCCAACAGTGTTTGGTATCTTGGGCATACGGTACGGACCAGGACAGCTTGGCTTGATTACTCTTTTCCATGGACTCTTCCATAGAAAGTTGGGAAGTTTCTGTTTTTTCCCAACTGTTTGCTTCAGTGACAGATAGGAGTTCTGAGCTGCCAAACCCCTGTGATTTTATCTTAAAAAAACCAGAAAACAGAGCTCAAAGCTACAGGTTTGGCCACTGCCATACACCGCAGCCGTGACGTGCAGCCTGGATGGCAGCCCTGCTGTCACACTGGCTTCCCCCCCATGGTGAAGGACATGGGCATCAGGGGACATTCCAGCCATAGGGGATGCCAGACTGCTTAGAGCAGCTTCCCTCAAGGCTTGACAGCAAGGTGCCTCCACCAAAGTAATTCAATTTGGGGTCATGTGGGGTTTTTTCCCCCTCCAATAAATGAAGGGCTACATCATACTGGGGAAGAAAAACCCACAAACCCCAATTTAAAAAAAGTAGGTTTCACTGGACAAACATGAAAGATGCTGGTAAATCCTAAAGTCATTTTGTCCACCTCTACCTCCCCAGCCCCTCCAGCAAAGCTGAGACTGAACCTTGGTGACCAGCCCCATTTCTGAGGTCTTTCATCCTGGAAGTGCTCAGCTGCCCCAGAGACACTCACCGCCTGGATGCCATCACCAAGGCTGATGTGCCAAGAAAACGAAAAGTCAACTCCATACAAACAGCAACTACCTGAGAGGTTTTTGACAGGTATGGATGAGGCCAGAAAATAAGAGGAAGAGCAACCACTAGAACTGCTCATGATCCCTGCACAGCTCTGCCCTCATCAGAGAGCCTGTTCTAGCTCACCAGAAGGGGGGACCTCAGCCTCGCCTTTAATGAGCTCATCAAAGAGCCCACCACTCTTCTAACACCTCTGCTGACCTAACTGGAGAAGCTCATGATGCTATCACGTTTGAGAGTCTTCTACCAGACCTTTGTCTATTTCCTTTAAAATCTAGAGTGCAATCATGTGCCTAGAAAGGTGTCCCAAGGTCCAGCTCACCTATTATTATGTCCATAGCTCAAAGAAAATTGCATTTTCCCTCTGACTTTCCTTTTTTTGCCTGGTGAGAGCAAAGAGACATCCTGCCCATGGGAACATCCACACTTTGAGATTCTCTAGGCTGGTGATGGATTCAGCTCCCCTGCGAGTGGCGTGGAGGATGAAGCAGCATACAATGCACCTTTCCTTCCTTCCTCCAGCATGGACAGCAGTTATCCAGGGGTGTGGTACCATCCAAGCATCTCACACCCATGGGTGAGTGGATTTATCCACTCTTAGGCAGGGAAAACTTTATTACAACCACAAGGAAACAAACCACAGAGAGATTAAGTAACTTGCCCAACTTTAAAGATTAAGTCGCTGGCAGAACCTTGCATTTAAAAACAATTTTCTTGGTCTCAGTCCAGCACCTTCCCCCTAAACACATCCTTTTCCCTCCAGCTCTCATTAAGAGGGAACATGCCGCCTTCATTCAGGCTGACTTCCACCAGGGTTACTCTAGTGAGCTGCGTGTTTATGTGCGTGTTTATCCCTTGCTTTGATAAGAAGTGACGAGGAAGAGAAAATCAGAAATAAAAATTCCTGATTAATTCCTATACAAATTTGGGGTACAAGGTGGGAAAATAAGTATCTTTGGGAGAGGAGAGATAATTTCTTAGAATCACAGAATCATAGAATGGTTTGGGTTGGAAGGGACCTCAAAGCCCATCCAGTTCTCAACCCCCCTGCCATGGGCAGGGACCCCCTCCACTAGCCCAGGTTGCCC